ATTTGCTGTTTTTCTGGTTTGATTTTTATAAGAATTTTTTTCTGTGGGACGATAACATTTCCAAATGGCTAAAATGTGAGTTACTATTTACACAGGGCAGGGCTTAAAAACGGAAAAAAAATCCAATCGGTTCACTTCGAGCAGAATTAATATTTTTTTAATTATGTTCTTGAGTTCCTTAATAAACAAAGTATTCCAAAAACGGTTTTCTAGAAAAAAAAAAAACTGTTAAGATTATAACGGTTATTATTAAATAACGGTTATTTTACTACAAAGTATTGCAGGGCTCTAGAGTGCCCTGGTTTCTTAATGGTTCAACTAAAAACTCTGTTCGAGGGGTAAGACTAAAAAATTTTTCGATAAGTATCATTAAAGAAATATTTATAATATGAACTTGCTTTTGGTTAAATCTATATCGACTTTGCGCACTTATTATGAATTTGCCGTTAATTCATTTTAGCAAAAACGTAACTTCCAGTAATCTTCACATTAGTTTTTCAGTTATGTAGCCTAATAAAAATGTTTAGTACACTGCACAGTGCAATTATTATTTAAATTTATTATATCCATAATTATTAATATTAGTAAAATTGACAAAACGCTGAACTCTTTTAAATGTTTGCGTTCATTTTGACATGCTAAAGCACACTTTTACAGTTTTTTAAAGAAACATGCCATTATGCAGCATCAGTCAAGTTAGGACACTTAAAAATGCCTTTTGCGTTTAAAGATGAATGGCCTGTGAAGTCAAGTTTACATTGTTATAAATGAAATAGATGTAGTGCGCAAGTAAGTGGATTTGCCGCAGATCCTCCTCTCACATGCGCTGCAGGTAGACTGAATGATAATCTTTTAAAAAAATTTAATATAGCTATACTGCTATTTTCTCATGCAAAATTAAACACCAGAAAATATATTGTAGGCCTTTATTAAGAGCTACATAATACAGTTAGCATCAGGGCTTAAAAGCAAAAACATTCGGTTCATCTCCCTCTGAGACATAAGTTCAGTTGTGTGCTGTAGGTTATTGACCAACACTCCCTGTATGCAGTTTACACACTGCAGGTCTACAGTTCTGATGTTTTATGAATTACTTGTTTTAAATGACAGTGAGACATGCTATAATTATTTTTTTATTGTAAAATATACATTATTATCCAGTACAAAGTAAAATAATAATTATTAATGGCCTATTGGCAGCATATAGCCGTTAAGCTTATAGTCTAAGCATGTTTTTTTATTTATATTAAAACAACTTACAAACTAGCCACCTTTTGATTTTATTTCATTTCCGTATATTTTTATCAAACGAAAAATGCAATGAGTTGTATCTTGGTTTTAATTTTATAATAAATTTAATAGCCATTTAGGCAACACTACTTCTTCATAACATATTGGCTCTGATTGCGTTTTTACAGATAACCTATTTACAAAGATTTTTATTAATCAACTGCACTTCCACTAGATATTTTTGTAGGTATAAAAATATAAAAAAGTATCATTCTCATATTCTTGCTTTATTTATCTTTAATACAAATATAATATTGTGTATAATGCATGCATATAATGTAGGGCACCTAAGAAAAAAAAAGCGCACCAAGGCAAAAAGTTAGTCTAGAGCCCTGTATTCGATAGATTAAGTGATAGATTGTGTCTGCATGTTATTTAACATTGACACTACTTTTCCGATTGATTAAACTAGGGATCCTAACGATTACTTGATTGATTTATTGTCGATAACCCTTTAAAACCAATAGACCTTATTGATGACTGATTAAGCATAGACATTGAATAAGTTATGCTTAGAGCTGTGAGACGCGTCCACGATTTCACACATTATATAATTGTTTGCAGTTTACGTTACCTTATGGAGTCGTGCACTCTTTCGACTTTGCATATTGGGGACACATAAAACCCTATTATGCATAGATCTTGTTTATGTCTGCTGGTGCTGCCGTTAATCCGCGGGTCAAGTAATCAAAAAGTAGGCTTCATGACGCTTAATTATGGGTAACAGATTAATCAGACTGAACATTCATTGTGCAAACTTTACCTACTTCTTCTAAAATATTAAAGTGTTTCAAGCTATGTTATCTTTTTATAGACGACCAGACAATTATAGTTTATATAAAAATGAGAGCTTACCTCATTTTACTGTGATCATTATGCGGATCATATTGCATATTCTGTTAATTCTTCAGTAGCCTTGTAAATAATGTATTTAATTAATGGATTGTTTATAAGGACTAATCTATTAAATACTGTAATTCTCTGAATGGAAAATGCTTGAGTGGTTTGATAATATATCATATCATTCAAAACTTTACATATCATGTTTATGATCTGCCCCCTATCCTTCAATATTACAGATCGATTTATCAAGTGATTTGTCATAAGAGAAATATTTACAAAAGGTTTTTCTTTATGAAGACCCATCTAAAAACAATCGACAATCAATAATTCATTTTGTATAAATACAAGTTTTAATAACAATAGCTTAAACCGAAACATACCTTTGTACATGAAAGAGCAGGTTCTCTCTAACCTTTAAGACAAGCTTGTCGCATCAGAAATTACTCTCGCTTATGACGTCTGCTTTGCAGGCATTTCACGTTGTATGCATCACCGTCACATTTGTAAGCATGATTTAAATTCATGCTTTTTGTCTCCCAAATTCATATAATAAAGAGATATGATAAAATAACGTTATTAACCATTTAACTGTAAACGCTTCTGTTCAGAACGATTAAAGTTGATCTAGTTTTCATTTTTTGTTTCTGTTCCTGCAAAATGTCACTTGTTTCCGTTTTTCATTTCCGTTCCTTGAACCGGTTCAGAGCCCTGCACAACTACAATAAGAAATAATACAATACAGTAACACAAATTGACTGTTAATCACTTACCTGTGGTAACTTTTGGTGAGTATTAAAATTAATATTATTCTGGTGTTAATATACAAAAATATTAAAAAACTAATTCTCATAATGTTCATAAACCTAAATATGGATCTGTTAAAGATGAATAGCTAGACTATGTTTTTCTTAGATTATTTACGGATTGCATCTATTATGTCTAGTATTTTTCAAAGCCAAAACTGACCATGCTGAAAAATGAATTTTGATATTTTTGCTCAGTTAAAGCAGTTGCATTCAGAGAAGCCATTATGGCAGAGGGAGCATAATGCATTGTACACATCTGTAAATTACTATGAAAAAGTAGTTTAATTACTTGACTCAATATTACCTAAAATGCCATTAAATTTTCTCTCTTGATTCTTTTAGGAGTCAAACATAGCTTTTTGCTTCATTAAAAAAACTTTCTTAAAACTTTCTTAAAAAAGACTTATGAGACTTTGTTTTACTCAATTCATTGTTTATTATTAGGCATGTGCAATTGTCTGACAAAAGTAAGCTGAGACTGAGTTATTATGCAAAGTAACAAAATAAATGTATAATAAAAACACATACAATTACTCTACTTATGAGAATGTTTACTACAGTATGTATATCATGATCTCTTGATCTCCCTTAATATTTTAAGCATGTGTAATCTTTAGAAATGTAACTTTTAGTAAAAAACATAATTACTCTGCCACTTTGAATTGATTTTTACACTACTGTTTACGGTAATTACATTAACTTAAAATGAAAACTCTTGAATATTAAAATGCCATTTCTTTTTCAGCAGATAATTTAATTACAGTAATTACTTACTTTGTGTAGCAACTTAAGCTAATAAAATTATCAGTATTATAAAGTTATTATTTAATTATGAATATTTGGGTTGACTTTATTAGTATAGATAGCAGAACTAAAATTGCAGTAAATTGAACTGCTCGTCTGTTAGAGCCTACAATTTATTTGTCTATTAGTTCAAGTATCAAGTAAATTCCTGGTCTGGATAAATAATGAATCTTACTACATCAACGAATTAGTGCAACCTGTTGCTTTATTTTTGAGTTTGAGTAACTTGTTCTGTGTGTAAAAACAAGTGATCCATGTGGACTCAAATGTTTAATAATGGTTACAAAAGACAAATACAGCACATATATTAACAACATGCTTGTACTTGAGTGAGTGAGAGAGAGAAAGAGAAAGTGAGATTGTGGGTGAGGCAAAGAGGACCGGGCGTAGTAGGCCTCATGAAGAGAGAGGGTTGCAAAACCTGGCCTCAGCTTGGGTCCCTAGGCCCTAGGTCACATTTTGGCTGGTGACAGAGTGAAGAGGAGTTGAAGAAGAGGGTTTAGAGGAGAGTTCCATGAGCGAGAGAGTACGAAGGGTGTGAACTGGAAGTACATTCTTTAAATAGGATTGCTGATGTCATAAACTCAGGGGCTGAGTTAGTCAATGAGAAGTTGTCTTCTAGCCAGCTTTATGGCCCCTTGTTCATGTCTGATGATTTGCATATGCTTGTTGAACAGTGGTCAAAGAGAAATTAAAAAATAAAAGATTTTATAATCTCAACATGTGTTACAAGTACCAAAATACAATGCACACTGTTGTTCTCTAAACCACATTCGCTTTGCATATATACCAAACACTTCTGTGAAGTTATTAAGCAATACTTTTAAGGGGGTTTAATACCAAGAAAATTGACGTGCCACCAGTATATCAACAAATAGACACTATTAAGCGCAGACAAAGCAGTCTACCTATGTTACAAAATATAAACATGCACACACAAAAAACAAACATCTTAGGTTATAGTTATGGCTTGTCTTCCTATCAAGGTCATTACCATGGTAACTCGAGGCTTAGGTATGTGATTTGTGAACTCCCGGTGGGGTGAGCTCAAGTGTTTCTGGGGGCTGCTTAAAAGGTTAATAATAATGAAATATGTATGATCTTCCTTCCTGTGCTACATTTGTAACTAATTAAAGCCTATTTTAAATGCCATATATTTCTGCAGTGATTCGATTTAATATCTGGTATTGTTTTGTCAGAGGCAGTCTAAAAAAATTAACTTGACTAATATAGTTGATTGTCTTCCTTTTCTCCCAGATTCCAAAAGATGAGCATATCCTACGATTTCTGCGTGCACGTGACTTCAACATAGATAAAGCACGTGAGATCCTTTGTCAGAGTCTAACCTGGAGAAAGCAGCACCAAGTGGACTACCTACTTGATACATGGAGTTCCCCTCAGGTGTTGCATGATTTCTATACTGGTGGTTGGCACCACCACGACAACGGTGAGTAAACATAGGGATGCCCTATAAAAGTAATTGTCTCTAATGCAAAATGTGTACATTTTAGTTTTTCTGATATCAAATGGTTACTCATATTCATAACGATCTTAAGATATTATTTTTGCATATGCATAAGCTACAATTAAACCTACAGATGCATAATATTTAACCAAGGGTCGAAGACCACGTATATGCATTTTGATGCGTCTTCTCCTCATATCGCAGAAAAGAACTTAAATTACACTTTCAACGTACAGATAAGATCAATACATCAATTGAATCTGTTAGGTGTCTAGTTTATATTGTGTGCACTCACAATGACAACAAACGTGTGTGCTTTTGCCAAATAAAGATAATAACAGTGTAGGCATTCTGTCTTTTCCCTTTCCGCAAACTGTTTTTAGAAATGCATGAGTAAAATGTACTTAAACTCTGCGAAAACAAAACACACAGACATGAAACGTATATCTATAGAAAGCTTAAAGTGTCTAATTTCAAATGCAGTGAGTGCATGTTTTATCAAACAAATATTGTTTAAAAAAGTAATTAGTATAAAACCAACGCTATGTCTAGTTTCTTAGTCTGAGCTCATTAGAGTTAATGCTACCACACCACAGCAGGAATTGTGCACTGTCACTTTAATGGTTTCTCTTTTACATGTCTTTTAATTCTCAACTCGTTTGTTTATTACAAAAATGAGGGTTAATATGAATAATCACTAAACTGAGCTGAGCAGTGTCATGCTCTGCTTAGCAATCCGCTCCATGGTCATGTTTCTTTGGAAATAAAAAATCTTAAATAACTGTCTAAAATTAAAGCACGTTGTTAACATAAGTTTCTGTATAAGTTTTCATTTCAAAGCAGCATTTTTTCCAGTGCTTTTTTTTTTTCTTTCATTACAGTTTTTTTTTTAATTTTTAATAATATTTCAATATCAATAATATTTTTATTTCAACAGCTTTTTTTACCTAAAACACACTGAAAAGAAACATTGTGTCATGTAAACAGAAATAATAATAACAGAATAAGAAATTATTCTGTTGCTGAGGGCCATTGAAGTTTAATAGATAGATGGTATTACTTTGGTGCAGAAGGAAACTTTTTATGGAGGCATTCCTATGCCCAGAGGCTTTGCAGCTCTTCTTTAAAAATAAAGTTTATCAGAAAGAAAAAGTGCCCCGATAAACAGTGTCAGCTTTGCACATGAGTGTGTCATTGTGTCTTTCTTTACGTTGTCTTTTCCCATGTGTGAAGTAGAGTTTGATCTGTGAAATATGTTATGCAAATATAATCAATTTTGATAAATAAAAATATTTTTAAAGGGTACCTATGGTGAAAAATCTACTTTAAGCAGTTTGGACAGACATATGTGTAGGTACAGTGTATAGATTGTCATATTGGGGTGATATAGGGTAAAGCATGTAAGCAGACCCTCTATGGGACAAGACAGGTTACATGTTTACGATTGCAGATTACAAATTTTTTCTTTTAGTAATTTTTTTTTTTTTTTTTATTTTAGTCAGGCAGCCTTAAGACAAGGTTGAAGAATTCATCAGTTATACATCAATCACAAGACAGGCAATCAACTGTCAACAAAACTTATAATGCACATATAATTTTATTTTCAATGGTAAAACACAGTAATACACAAATTGTGCAGGTCCATGAGTTATTATGTGGCCTACCAAAATGTTTCTTGCTGTAAATCAGGGTTGGGGAAAAAAAAATTCTATCAAGAGCCATTTACATTTTTGTAACATCGTTTAGGGGCCATACTAAATTATAGCGCTGCTCGATCAAAAAAATCATAATCGCGATTATTTTAGTCATAATTGTAATCACGATTATTCAAAACGATTATCAGTTGAAGTCAAAATGATTCGCCCTCCTGTAAAATGTTTTATATATATATATATATATATATATAACCGAGGAATTTTTCACAGTATTTCCTCTAATATTTTTACTTCTGGGGAAAGGCTTATTTGTTTTATTTCGGCTAGAATAAAAGCAGTTTTTAATATTTTGAAAACTATTTTAAGGTCAATATTAGATTAGATTAGATTCGATTAGATTAGATTCGATTAGATTAGATTCGATTCGATTCAACTTAACTTATTAGGCCCCTTCAGCAATATATATTTTTGATTGCCTTCAGAAGAAACTACTGTTAAACAATGACTTGCCTAATTACTCTAATTAAACCTTTGAATGTTACTTTAAGCTGAATACTAGTATCTTGAAAAATATTTAGTTAAATATAATGTGCTGTCATCATAGCAAAGATAAAATAAATCTGTTATTAGAAATGACTTATTAAATATGTTATGTTTAAAAATGGTTTGAAAATAAATCTTTCCATTCAACAGAAATTGGGGAAAATGGGTCACTTATAATTCAGGAGGGCAAATAAATCTGATTTTATATTTGCCCAGTTATTTTCCTCCCTGTAAATAAGGAAAGGGAAATAAATACAATAGAATAAAAATATGAAACAAACTGTGCTTTAAGCATTTTCACAGTAAGAAAAAAACTTCAGCTACAAAAATCCTTCAGTCAAGAGCAGTGAGTGATTTTGTCCTTTTGTTGTTTAATTAATAATAAAAACAGTCAGCGGCAGGAATGTTGCGCATTGTCTCATTAAGAATAGCGCGGCTTTAAAATGGTTTCTCTTTCGCATGTCTTTTGATTCTCAACTTGTTTGTTTATTACAAATAGAGGGTTAATATGAATAATCCCTAAACACCGTGATCTGACAAAAATGTACATGTATTTGACCATTAAAGCACTCACTTTGAGATGGCATTAGATGTGTGTGCTCTGCTCGTCTCCGAGGCTAAGCGCGCACACACACACAGAAGCATGCCATGCGGTCTCATTTGCACTATTAAAAATATAAATGATTCGAACGTACATCAGTAAATGATGCGCATACTGTGCTGCAAACGTTACATAACAGCACATGCTTTAAGTTATTTTCATGTAAAACTGAGCTTTGCAGAGCAACAAATGTATACAACTCACTTTCTATCACAGAAATTTATTTATTTATTTCATGAGGGGTGATTTTGAATTGTTGGATGGAGCCAGATCAAATGGTTTCACGGGCCACAAAAGGCCCAGAGGCCGGACGTTCCCCACTCCTGTTGTAAAAAGACACTACACACTCATTATGTATCACATTACATGCCTTCTGGTGTCGTTCAACATATGTAATAAATATATAATTTTTGTAACACTTTTTTTAAAGGTACATTAATATATTTACTAACATGAACTGTTTATGAACAATATTGTTCAAAATGTATTAATAATAGTTACAAATTCATTATTAAATAGTAAACATGAACTTACAATGAACGTTTTTATATTCAATAACAATTACAAAGATAAATAAATACTGTAAGGTGTTTGCAAACATTGTTATATCCCAGGGGTACTCAACCCTGTTCTTGGAGATCTACCTACAGAGTAGGCATGGGCCTATATAAGATTTTGATTATATGATAACTTTGAATAAAAATGGTATCACGGTAGTATGATTAGTGCTCTAAAATATATTCTTTTTAAGTGTATGTGTTAAAAACAAAAAACTTTTTTTGAACTCAATATATTTTATTTTGAGAAACATTTCAAATATTTTTAAGCAGTAAACATGTCAGGCTAAGTTAATTATTGAATTCTGCTGTCTTTATTTGTTTCAAAAATAATTTTTTTTAGATATATTTTCTGCTGAAGATACTTTTGTCCTAAAAGCAAAATGTAAATAAACAAATGTGCACATACCTTATTAACAGTATTGCAGAAAATGTTGACTGTTTTAAAACCTTGACTTTTCCAAACCGCGGTATACCTTGAAAACGGTTATCGTCCCATGCCTACTACAGAGTTCAGCTTCAACCCTGATCAAACCCAAATAAACCAATTAATTAAGACCTTAGCAGCACTTAATAACTACATGCGGGTGTAGTTATGGGCTGCAACTGAAATCTGCAGGAAGGTAGATCTCCAGGAACATGGTTGAGCACCCCTGTTATATACATTACCTAACAATAACTAAGAGACTATTATTTTAAAATGTTACCAATTAAAAGCTTATAGGTTATGCATTTATCTCTTAGAAGTAAAGACATAGCTTGTTTTTTCTTGTTAATATTATTTAATTGTTTGTATAATTTGATAAAAAAAATTAACAGAGCCTGTCATGGTGTGTTGACTCATAAAGATGTTTGATTATATTATGATTTGTCTTTTTGTGTACTGCTGCAGATGGCCGGCCTTTGTATATCTTACGCCTGGGACATATGGACACCAAAGGGCTGGTTCGAGCACTTGGAGAAGAATCCCTGCTCAGACATGTTAGAGATTAATTAACCCTCATTTTTTTCAAAATGCCTTTTAGTGTTTTTCATTTATATGCAAGTAAATGAAGAGTGATGAGTCTAACATCATGTATCGAAAATTAGGTGCTGTCTATCAATGAAGAGGGTCTAAGACGCTGTGAAGAGAACACCAAAGTGTTTGGTCGGCCAATTAGGTATTTACAGGACTGTCAGATTTTCTCGCTTCACCTATTAAGTGACTGTTATTGTTTTAACAAATTACTTTTTACATTTTTTGAAAAAGCAATCTAAGCTTATCATTCTCATTTCTGCAGTTCTTTTCAAGTAGTTCAATTCAATTCACTTTTATTTGTATAGCGCTTTTACATTATAGATTTTGTCAAAGCAGCTTCACATAAAAGGTCATAGTAAATTGAAACAGTGTAGTTCAGTTTAGTTTAAGTAGTTTTGTGGTATAGTGCCACCATGGTGGCAGGACACCACTGGCATTGGTATGCAAAAATAGGGATGCACCGATGAGATTTTTATTACCAATAACAATTTTGACAAACCTTTGGCTAATACTAATTAGGGATACAAAAGATTGCTTAATAAAACATTAGCTATGTTTCCTTCCAAAAATGCGAATGAACTTTATGCACAAAACTGGATTATCGCATAAAAGATGTGCGAATACAGCTGTGTTTCCATCCAACGAATCAAAGTGAACAAAATCGTCACTTTCTGATTAACTGGCGCATCTATTAAATGACTTGCACCTCAGAAGGCAATCCTAACACACAGTAATGCGCGGTGGCGTTTGAAGGTGTCAGAGGCGGAGCACATACGCTCTTGATTCTGGAGGTCATTAATAATATAATAACACTAATACCTAAACGGTAAGGCATTTTAGAATGACCAAACAAACATTTCGGATGTTTTACAATGTGCTCAGCCTGCTGGTTTATCCATTCACACACACTTTTTATCATCACATGATGTCTTATAACAAAATCCTATGACCTTTTTTAATGCGCATGCTGGAGTTTGTGCGGTAAAAGTGTTTCCATTTTAGTTTGTGCGCATCTTTTCTTATTGAATAAAAAGTTTATCCTACTCAGTTATGCTCATACGTTTTTATGCGCATTTTCAAAATTTCGCATCTTGGCGTTTCCATCAATCGTTTTTTTATGTGCATAAAAATAGGTGAATAGAAACAGCTATTGTATTCAACACACCTTATCATGGACAGCATGGAAATCATAACAAGAAGTCCATTCTGTGCATTCTATTTAAGAAAGAGACTTTTTGTGTGTGTGTTGCAATGACCACACCATTGATATTCATAACAATCTCTGAAGGGACTAATAAAGCCAGTGTTTAATCATTTGTAAGCTAATCTGGGCACAGCTGTACAATATTTACTATTTAAGGCCAAAAGTCATTTACACATCCTGTCATGTCTGTGACTACCAAAGCAAAAAAATCTGACATTAATAAGGTTAACAATTAATCGATTAATTGATTAATTTAATTGATTATCGATCATGGGAATTGGGGTAATTGACTTTTGACTTTTAGAGTTTTGACTTTTTGTTTTCAAATTCAGTTAGTCTTAATTAGTTTTTATTAGTTTCAGGATTAGTTTTAGTTTTTGTTAGTTTTTTTTTTTGTAAATTGGGATATTTGTTAGGTGCAATATTCAAAATCATCAGAATAAATACTGTATAATAAAAACTCAATCAAAAATATGCTACATTTTTTTTTGACACAATAACACTACCATCTACTCATCCTCAAATTCAAATACAACAGCCCACAAGATGGCAGCCTTAAGTAAAATATGTGTGCAAGGCAGCTTCTGAGGTTAAATAGAGACGGTGCTCACTGCAGAGCCATTTGAGCGAGGGGGAGCATGAGCTCTCGTTCCTCCTCCTATAAGCTGTTTTAATGCGTACACCAACCCCACCCCTAACCCTACCCCCATCACTCGTAGAAGAAGTGAAAGAAAGGAGGAGCCAAAGCTCAAGCTCCCCCTCGCTGGAGCTCAGCTCTGCCCAAATGGCTCTGCAGTGAGCACCACTTGGTTAAATACACGGATCGCTCTAGTGGCCTGATGAAATCCATACTAATTCTCTCGAAGGGGATCTCCATAATTGTTAGAGGGCACAATAGTGCTTTTGGGGTGGCTTGTTTAGCAGCTGTCATTTATCTGTTGACATCCCCGTGAATGCCTGGCCAAAAGAATCGGGCCGTGAGGCAAATTAGTGTGGCCACCTGACTTAAATGTCTGGTCATAGGATTAGAATGAGCCACCTGGAAAAGTATTTGCCGATGGCTCTTTGGTACTAGTAATTGGGCTGTGTCTTCTTTGGTTTGAGTGTCTTGATACACTGGATACACCCTGTCATTATTGATCGCAAAATATGAAAAGGAAAGGGGCCGATCATGCTGGAGGTTTTGCTCATCAATGACCTGCACTCTTTCAAAAGCATGTCTCAGCGTGTCGTCACACAACTGCTCGAGGGGAAAGTCTTTGCACCTATTCCTGGCCCTCTCCCCTGTGTATATAATGCCGGATCAGTTTGAGCCTGAATCAGACTTAGCTGAACCCATGCAAACACAAGATGTTTCACATACCATTTGCAAACTCAAGTTCATTAATTCAAATGTAGACCACTGGAAAAGTGGTCACATAGAGAGACATTGCGCTGGTGAAAATTGTGGGTGATTATTATTTTTTGATGAATAAATACAAATTTGTTTTTGTAGCTAAATTGTTAAGAGTGTCAAACAGTTTTTCCCATTGTTTACATCGTTATGCCCTTGCTACAACATACAGTTAACGCTAGGAACAATGCATGGAAAATATCAATTCTAACAAATAAAAATACTTACAGGTTGTTTATTTATTCTTGCAACTGCTCTTTATTTTAAAGGTTTTTTTTGACTGAATCCAGCACTATACTGGGAAAGATTTTGGAATCTATCCTTTGTAAAATGACTGTAATTTTTCAAAAGCTTTAACTTTTTTTAAATGATTTTCTGAAACATAATTAATGATAAATTTTAACCATTTCTTCTGTGTCATGTCCCTTGGAAGACCAGATAGAGAACAAGACAGCATTTTGCCATTTTCTATAACTAATGTTACAATTGTTCATTTTCTGTGGCGTAAGCCAAAGGGTTTATGACATCATTAACCCAGATGTATTTTTTGTTGACTTTGATAATCTAACACTGTAAAAGTGAGTGTCTCCCTTTCCATTGAACTTCATTCATATTTTCTGATCCTGTAGTTGTTGGACATGTCTTGTCGATCTTGAGGGGCTCAATATGAGGCATCTCTGGCGTCCTGCAGTCAAAGCTCTGCTAAGGATTATTGAGGTGGTGGAGGCCAATTATCCTGAGACTCTAGGCCGTCTTCTCATCCTCAGAGCTCCCAGAGTTTTTCCTGTTCTGTGGACCTTGGTAAGGGGTGTATTTTTCTTAAAACTAGAGAGGGACTGAACATAAAATGCAATCTTAGGGTGCTTTTACACCTGTGAATTGATTCAGTTGTTCTGAAACGGGGATTGAAAAAAAAATGTCACATTGTTGCTCCTTGCTCTTGGTGCGGTTCGCTTTCACACTGCAAAGTTTCTAAACGGACCAAAAGAGCTAAAACAAGTCACGTGTGAGTAAACTCTCCTCACATTGGTCAGAGTGTCAGGGTTTATTTTGCAAAGTCCCGCTAAGCTGTCAGGCAGGTGGTTTGGTGGTGTTTGACAAGGTGCGTGCAACGTGTCTAAAGAGCGAGGAGAGATGCAGTGGGGAGGGGTGAGAAGGGTGCGTGATGTATTTGAGGACCGGGAGTGAGACGCGAGATTACTGGGAGATTATCACTCGTTTGCGGGCATCTGTGATATAACCGCGCTCGGATCGTAATGCTTTCTCACTGCAATCGATCCACTCCAGAGTTCGTTTCAATCGAGCCGAGACCACCTCATTCAAGCAATCTCAGACCGATTGATTTGGCGTAAATCCTAGCTTGATTGCTGGTTTCACATATGCCAAACGAACCGCTTTAACTGGACAAACGAGACCGGTTCCAAAACAAAAGTGTAGGTGTGAAAGCACCCTTAAAAGGGGAGAACTATTTAAACCTTACCTTTTAAGGGTTATACATTGTTTTTAAAGTTTGAGATTTGGGAAAAATGTGATGAGAGTAAACAGTTTGCAATTTAGTTTAGTAATACAATCTAATGAATTAATATTAACTTATAGCACAGATTTTGGCAAAATATATTACATATTTAGTAAAAAATACAAATTTATTTATTTATTTTTTATTATTAGAGAAAAGTGATTAGTTTAGACAAATAAAAAATACAAATACAATTTTTTTTTAATTATTAGAGAAAAGTGATTAGTTTAGACAAATAAAACACACAAAAAAAAACAGAACAACAGAAGTGTGTCTTACTTACATCACAATAATTATTCCCAGGACCTCTGTAGCTGTGGCCATTTTACCTATTCATCCAATGTTCTCATCTTTGCAAATTAGTCACACAGATTAAGCTCTTTATCGGCCTGACTCAACTCAAAGAAAGCATATTAGCTGTACATTAAATGTGCTCTGTTTTTATCTGTGTTTAAAGGTGAGCCCTTTCATTGATGAGAATACGCGAAAGAAGTTTCTGATCTATGCAGGAAATGACTATCAGGGCTCTGGTGGTCTTGTGGACTACATTGATAAAGAGGTCATCCCTGATTTTCTTGGAGGAGAGTGTATGGTATGTATGGTGTACTTTTTTAATAATTATTTTTACTTCTAAAATTTAAATGTATTTGTTTAAGTTTGGTTATTACATTATCCTTAGATTTGTTTTGTTGTATTTATGGGGGTATTGAATTTATTGTATAAGGGGCATTGAAGTAAAGTAATACAATTTCTAAATGTGTGCAGTGTGAAGTGCCAGAGGGTGGGTTGGTGCCCAAATCACTGTATAGAACTGCAGAGGAATTAGAAAATGATGAGATTAGGCTGTGGACAGAGACCATTTACCAAAGTGCCAGCATCTTCAAAGGAGCACCACATGAGGTCAGACTTCTGCAATGCATATATTGTTAATTTTTTTATTGCTTTTGTTTCATTTGATCTTGTGAGTTTTATTAATTTATTTTGCTTTTCTTTATTCAAGTCTGAGAAAATATGTACTGAAGCTACAATTTTAATTATTATTATTTATGTTGTTTTGTTTGTTTGTTTTTTTCAATATCTTCTATTTTAGCAACTAATTGAGATCATCGATGCCACCTCGGTTATCACTTGGGACTTTGATGTATGTAAAGGTGATGTGATCTTCAATATTTATCACTCTAAACAAGCTCCTCAGCCAGCAAGGAAAGATCCGCTGGCTACCCATGGCATCACCTCTCCTGCAGGCAACAATGTGCAGCTTATAGAGAAAACCTGGTTGCTGGGTCAGGACTACAGCATGGTGGAGTCATCCCTTACCTGCAAAGAGGGAGAAAGTGTACAGGTATGTCAGTAACGAGCAGTATTCAGTTTGATTTTCCATGAATAATGATTATAGTGGGGGTTATTGTTATTAGTAGTAGTATAATTGGTATTGTTGTTTTTATTATATTTATTATAATAATTATTATACAAATTTGATCACATTTTAGGCCCAAACATTCTTAAACTCATAAAAATTTGCTCACACACATGAACTGGTGAATATGTACACTATATGTCAGAATTAATTTTTACAGTGGCTGGTGGTGCCACCTATGCACTTTCAACAAAGTGTACCATTGTCTTCTAATGTGCACGTAATTTATTATATAAGAAAAAGACTTGCGCAGCTTCTCTTATTCTTTTTTCTTTTTGATCTTTGATGTCATTTCAGCGGGAGGTGACAATTTTGTTCTTGTTCACTCATTCAATGCAAATGCTGCATTACTTGCACTTTCTTTTGTAATATCCCGGTTTTAAGCATAAATTTTATTCACATCGTTGGATGGAAACGGCTTGTGACATCTGGTGGCATAAGAAGCAATATGTTGATTATCTACCTAAATGCATATTGCTATTCCTGTTGATTCTTATCCTAAGATCGCTGGGTGGCTGAGAGCAACACAAGAGTTCTTTAAAGCTGTTTTATGTTTGTTTTCCCCCTTAAAAAAGTCAAGTGAAATTAAGTTAACTTTTCCCTTTATATATATGTATATGTGTGTGTGTGTGTGTGTGTGTGTGTTTATAAACATAATAGTTTTTTTTAATCCATCTTTAATGACTGATTTATTTTTTCTTTGCCATGATGACAGTAAATAATATTTGACTAGATGTTTAAAGGCTTAACTAGATTCACTACGTTGCCTAGGCAGGTTAGGGTAATCAGGCAAGTTATTGTATAATGATTGTTTGTTCTGTAGATTATTGAGAAAAAAAATTGCCTAAAGGAGCTAATAATTTTGTCCCTAAACTTTGTCCCTAGTGCTGTCAAAATTAGTGCGTTAACACATGCGATACATTTTTTTATTAAGTTCGACTTGTTTCCCCCTTAAACGCAAGTGTCTGCTTCACGTTTTTGTGTCAGAATCCTTGTGAAATACAACCATACTTTAGAACGCTTAGTTTAAGCAAATTTGATGAACGCGATCATGCGTGTTGAATCTGAAGGGAGTTGCTCCAGCTGCCCTGTTCTGCACGCATTGTGTGTGTGTGTGTGTGTGTGTGTGTGTGTGTGTGTGTGTGTGTGTGTGTGTGTGTGTGTGTGTGTGTGTGTGTGTGTGTGTGTGTGTGTGTGTGTGTGTGTGTGTGTGTGTGTGTGTGTGTGTGTGTTTGTGTGTGTGTGTGTTTGTGTGTGTGTGTGTTTGTGTGTGTGTGTGTCTGTGTGTGTGTGTGTCTGTGTGTGTGTGTGTGTGAGCGCGCGCGCTGTTTCTTAGCAACAAACCTGCCTAAACATTGTCGTCCGTAGCCACTAAATCAAAAAGTTACGAATTGCCGTGAGATTGTGTTGCACTCTCAGCTCAATATGGTGGTGGCTCATTGTAATTACGAGACAGTTACTAGATAATTAGTTAATTACTAGATAAAATAGATTATCTAATTTTGTTCTTCCTTTTTTGCTCTCCCTGCCAATATGTGTACACATCCTTTAGGGTTCACATGTGACGCGATGGCCAGGCTTCTATATTTTGCAGTGGAAGTTCCACTCAATGCCAGCATGTGCTGCTACAAACCTATCTCGAGTGGATGACGTTCTGGCGACTCTGCAGGTTTCGTCTCACAAGTGTAAAGTTATGTACTACACTGAGGTTCTTGGCTCTGAAGACTTCAGGTAAACACTTTGAGCATTGAATTGAGAGTTGTAATAATTTCATTGCTGCATAATGGTCATTTATAAAATTATAATTATATTAAAACCTTTTTGTTGTGTATAAATATTTTATCAGCATTGTCATAATAACTCTTTCCCTGCCTGTTTTTTTTTTTTTTAAGTTGGCAGCCACTGTCAGCATTTTTTATGATTTCTGCCTACATTTTACAGCCTTCAGAGTAGTTTAGGCTAGGAATATATGACTAAGTTATGTTTTCAACAAATCAACCCTCTACCCTACCTTTAACAAAAAAAGCATTTTATTCTATCTTAATGTGTTCATGTTTTATACGCACTTAAATGCAGGTACTGTAGGTGACACTTTAAAATGAGTATTACCTCCGTGCCTTGTACAACCACTGCTCTAAAGGAGTAAGAACATGTTTTTAGGTATGACCGCAGTTTGCGACTATACTGCCAGGGGGCACAAAGGAAGGACATGTGAACGGACAGAAATAACCTAAACAGTAGCTTTAAATACTCTGCTACTTGTAAATGAAGATGAAACAATAAAACAAAATGTTATAATTCATTCATTAATAATTAAAAACTTGTTAACATTGTAAACTTTTTAAGTGAAATAAGGATTCATTTTGGAAAGTAAAATTTAAAAATTAAAAGACAACTAAAATGAAAGTACAAACACACATACAAATAAGTAGACATAAATGAAAAAAAAAAAATAAATAAATAAAGTAGTGTTTTAGCCTAAATATAGAGAGATGAACATAATTATTTTAAAGTGATAGGTCTAAGACAATCAATAATAAGCTTTTTAATTTATCTTTTTATTAACAGTTTTAATTTACATTTTCGTTGTTGATCATATTTTACTATTTCATTTTGTGTCTCAATTACTGTACATAAATAATAAATTAATAATTAAATAAGCCTAATTATTTATTTAAAGACATTACCAGCGAAACACTGAGAAATGGTGCTATTTCTATATAGGCCTACTATAATTTAAAAGAAAGCTGCAAAGTGGGCTATATTATTTGTATTCTAGCCTATATTATTTTAATAAATTTTTTCTGTCTTTGTCACTTGTGGTTCAGTGCACGTGCGCTGCGCAAGATGAGAAACATGGCAATATTGACCTTTTTTTAATAGGCTATAGGCTACTGTAGTATATGGTAATTTAGATTTTTAGTTTTTACAAATAGTATTGCTTTAATTTGCATAGAAAATTTATAGTTTATATAGACCTAAAATTATTGCTTCAGTTTGATTCGGAGTTATTATTTAAAACATAAACCTGTGTTTTTAAAGATGGATGTGGGTGTCACAGAATACTTTTTCAAACCAAAGTTTTTATTATTATTATTATTATTATTTAATGTGAACAACAATTAATTAAAATGTAAATGTATTTGTTACACCACCTTATTGGTGGTAAGCCAGAGTAAAACATACCATTTACACATATCACATAAAAATTTAACTCTATGCGACAAACAAAACATAATAATTTATTATGCCACTTTTCTTTTCAGTGGGTTAAAGTAAAAAAAAAAAAAACTGTTAAAAAAAGACTGAAATAAAAAAATGCTTTTATGCTATTCAGGAGTTATGTGCACCCCCACTAACAGGTAAAATCTGCTTCTCTCTCTCTTTCAAGTTCAAAGCAAATTTAAATGCCAAAGCATTTTAGATATAAATAGCCTATGTAATATTAACATTTTCAAATTAATAAAATAATCATCAAATGAAAAATAAATCAATAAAAAATGTATATACATAATTATTAATTTAAGTTAATAAAAACACAATATCTCAAAAAAATTATCATAATTGCAAGATTAAAAATAGTATATATTTTTTAATAAGGCAAATGCATTGATTAACCATTACTAATGTTGTAGCCTACATATATTTTGCAGCAAGTTTAGATGTCATTTCATCCTCTGAGTATATAGCCAAAGTGTCTGTCAGCTGAATGAAGACCTAAATTAAATCTAAATAGCAACTAGCTTACTGCATGCTGATCTTTTTTTTTTTTCTAATATCGAACCAATTCAACCGCGAGAAGATATCGACAGCTTGATATGCAATATTTTCCAAAATGTTTTTTAACAATTCACTAAAATAAATTTTGTGTGTTTTTCTGCACAGTTTAGCTCCAACCCTGTTCAAACAGACCTCCCTATAGAGTTTAAGTGATCTTGAAGACACTGATTAGTTTGTTCAGGTGTGTTTGACTAGTGTTGGAACAAAACTCTGCTGGGACACTGGCCCTCGAGGATCAAGTTTGCCCATCCCTGGGTTAGCCTATTTCACAGTTTGTAAAAATTAGAAATAATAATTAGGCTGAGACAGATTTTCTCTTTATTCAGAAATAAAAATTAAATCCTCCCTTGTTTTTCGAAACAGAGTTTTTAAAAACACTAAAGACGCCATTTTCATTCAGACTTCGTAAGCCTGATAGAGAGAACATTGGATGTCACATATAGCCTAGGCTGCAAATAACACAACGGAGTGTAATAATTAACATAACTGCCTTTCTTTCCTTTTCATACAATATAAAATACTGTATGGCTTTTGATAAAATGTGTTTAATGAGGCTATAAATATTAGGATTAAATGCATGGTGAAATATAAAATACAAATGTCTTTTTAGCTGAATATTTATTTTATTAATCTATCTCTTTAATATTTTAATAATCAATAATGGCCATTATAAAAATATAGTAGGCTGTGCTACAATAAATTTATACTGTATAATAGCTTATAGCAGTGGTTCTTAAACTGTGGTACACAGGCTTCCTTCAAGTGAGACGTAGAGGAATACTGAAAAATGAAAGAAAAAAAATAATAACACACTTTTTACTCTTTGTTTTGAATGATTACACTGATGTGATCAGCACCAGCTGATCCCTGAAGCGTACGATCACATTGCTGTGCGTTGCATGTTAACTTATTTCATCGCATAATCACATGCTAAAAATAAAACTGCTTTGGCGCAGAGAAAGAGGTGTGTGACCCTTGCAGAGCAGATACACGCTAGAAAAGTGCTTTTGCAGACCAGTGCTTTTGTGTTGGCATTTTGGTTACTGCAAACTCATGGGAATCTCCCCATGCTAAAAAAAAATGGTAAAATAATTATCACAATTGTGTTAAATGTGTGTTCTTAGTTGTGTAAAATAATGCATGTTTTTTGATATATAAAGTTGTTTGTTTTGTAAAGCAAAGTGGCCTTGCTTGAAGCTTGGGTATATTGCTATATATATATATAAATTTGCAACAATTTCCAAAAATCCTTTTTCAGATTGTCATTGGGTTATTGTGTGTAGAATTTTGAGGAAATAAGTTAATTTAATTCATTTTAGAATAAGGCTGTAACATAACATCAATGTAGAAAAAGTGAAGTGCTATAAATACTTTTTGAATGATTATAGTGAGCACCAATTAAACATCCCGTCATTGAGTGATGAGAGTCAGCTGTGGAATTCATCACCATGATAAATGGGCAGGGGAGAATAGCATATTATAGTCTCTGACGTTGTCTTTGTAAGATAACACACCTCTTGATCTCTGGCTGACCTAGTACAACATCAGTAGTGCCAACGTGTAGTGGATAATAATCTCACTAAATTTACGTTTAGATAAGACAGCACTATAAAACTTGACATGACGTCAGGCCTTCTGGCTCTCGGTAGACAATTAACTATAGTGGGTGGTGTCTCTATTAGCATGTTTTGTACTATGAAGTCACCAATAACTAGGGCACTTTTATCAAGTTTGTCAGTGGGTACATCACTGAAGGGACTAAACCTGTTTGATGTTGTAATGTAATGTGTATTTATATAATGCATTTATTGTGTTTGGCCATACACCCAAAGTGCTTCACAATCATGAGTCTCTTCACACCACCACCAGTGTGCAGCACCCACTTGGATGATGGGACGGCAGCCACAGGACAACGGCGCCAATGCGCTCACCACACACCAGCTATTGGTGGAGTGAAGAGACAGTGATAGAGCTAATTCGTTGGGTGGGGATGATTAGGAGGCCATGATGGGTAAGGGCCGATTGAGGGACTTTGGCCAGGACACCAGAGTAACGCCCCTACTCTTTACGAGAAGTGCCATGGGATTTTTATGACCATAGAGAATCCGGACCTCGGTTTAACGTCTCATGCGAAAGACAGATGTTGGATGTCGGAATGAACATAGTGTTTTCTCCTTCAAAACAAAAAAAGCTCCAAAACAACCTGAACATAGATAACCCTTAAAAATTACTTGCACGACATTTGAGACATTCTCATGCCACATGTGCAATATATCAAATACAATTTGCCAATGGGGAGACTCTAATTGATCTTAAAGGAATTATGGTTGGCTTAGGAAAGCCAACATATTGTTCTACTGCATAATTTTAATAAATAAATAACTCCAAACCTCTAAACTATTTTGAATTAAGTAGCTATATTTTTCCAACTGATCTGGCTTACGTTTTTTTTTTTAACTAACCTGAGTCCCATCGACTTAACATTGGACTAAACTTTGTGACCTCATAAGTTTGTGCCAGTCTGTCATACAGAATTAAGGTTGGGTCATTTAATTCAGACTACCAATCTGCCAATCACTGATGACCTTTTAATTTTTTAGCCAGACCCTAGCAACCACTTAAGGTACCCTAGCAACTGTCCATGGATTTTCATTGGAACAAAAACTGCCATTGACTTTACATTGGACATTATAACAACATACTAATTCATGCTAGCAATATACTAATTCAGACTAGAAACATGTTAACTACTTACCAGTAAATGCAAACAATATACTAATCCATACTAGAAACATAATAACAAACATACTGGTCATACTAGAAACATGCCAATTCATTCTAAACCATGCTAGCAACAATGGTACATCTGTTATTACCAGTGACTGAAAATTTAATTTTCTTTTTTTTTTTTTTTTTTTTTTTTACCTCAGGGGCTCAATGACCAGTCTGGAGTCCAGCCACAGTGGTTTCTCTCAGCTCAGTGCAGCCACCACATCCTCAAGCCAATCTCAGTCCAGCTCTATGATCTCCAGGTAGAATGGTCTAAAATGTAAAACCCAAGTGATGGAGAGGACCCAATTCTAAATCAAGTCCATTAATACTATTCTTCTGTCATCTATCTCAATACTTTACCATGTCAAATGTCTAAGCTTACTTGCATATATATATATATATATATATATATATATTCTTTATTCTTGTATGAAATACCCCGCATATGGCACATATACTTACTGTATGCATACTGTATATGCACTTCATTCTGCCATATCATAATTCATTTAGGTCAGTAGGCGGGCTTCTGCAATAACTTAGAACAAAAGGTTTATTTGAATTTTGGAGACTAGGTCAAGTCTTTTTGGGTGCTACAAGTTTCTTCGTTATTAGACTTGCAGTTTGCACACAGCACGCAATTGAGTGATAGAGTCACATTACATTTTTAGTACTTATTATAACTATAGCTATCTTAAATTTTCACATTGTGGAAATGCTTTCATATTGAACCTCATACCTGCTTGATCAGTTCCTATGCAGTCAGCCTATTAGTGCTTAAATTGAAATTTTTAAATGGTAATTTCTTAGGAGAGATGAATTGTAACTTTGTTGTAAAAATTGTCATTGCCTCAACAGAACAAGTTTCAAAATATACAGTTTTTGAAGCTGATCAGTTTTTTTATGGTTGTCAGTCTTTTTTTTTTTTTTTTTTTTTTAGGTTTATGGTTTATATTACCAGAGACATGAAATGGAGTGAAGTTACAGAATCCAGTGAATTATACACCTAAAGTTTATTTGTTTAGGTTAGAATGTCATTCCAAAATTATATATATAAAAAAAAAAAAACTTTTTCATGAGAACGTATTTATGAATACAGGGGATTTAACATATTTTACACTATGCACAATGGTGTTAACTGCTTATTCTCCTTAATATAGCCCAATTGTCTGAAGACATTTCTCAATTTCTCAGCCTTATCAGTCCTGACCCCAGAGACAGGGCATTTTAGGGGAAAAATATTTTTACAGCGAGCAAAAGCTACTTTTTTCAGGTCATTTAAATAATGTGATTCATAGTTAAATATATTTACAAAGCACTAGTGTATTGTAGGTACTATATACTCTAAACAACATTGATTGTAGAAAAGAGGGACAACAAAAAGTGTTTAAAAAAGTTACTATATTCCAGCTGTTATGTTTAAACGCTGTTATTTTTTCTGTTAGACGGGTGTTTATTCAAAAAACTTTAAAGGGATTTAGGGGACCCCAGAAGTTATATATTAAGCAGTCATCCCTTAATGTATTAACACTCATAAAGCACAAGTTCTGAACCATGTTTATTTTCCCTCAAGTTCCCTTGTCATTCTACAAGCTGCCAGTCAGGTTTCAGGGCTGTGGTTTTAGAATTTTTTCTAACCATGCACAGGTTAGTACACATATGCTTAGTGTTTAGAAAAAAACATATTCTATTTACAATACAATTTTGTAATCATTACAAAATTAGGGCAAAAAATTAACATAAGACCATCAGTACTAACCATTTATTGTTTTGCTGTATAGAAAGTTCTGTATATCTTGTATGAATGTTTCTCGTCCTTCAATAACCAGTTTTCTTTTCATCAAAATACAGTATATCAGAAGTAAATTTGTGTGTTTGACACTGTTGACTTAGATTAGACACTTAGGTAACACTTTATTTTGATGGTCCATTTGAGTATTAGTAGACTGTCTGCTTAATATCTGCTGATACTGCTCCTTCAACAGACATTTAACTGACTATAAGAAACTTTGCAAGTACATTTCTTCTTACACTAACCCTAACCCTAATTCCAACCTAACAGTCTACTTGTAATCTTATAAGAATTAGTTTGCATGTACATGCAATGTAACTTAGTTCAACAAACAGACCATCAAAATAAAGAAAATGTGACCGACACTTGTAGTCTGCCTTTATCTGAACAGAGCAATATGGGAGATAAGTAAACATGTGCACCAATATTCTTACCGAGTAAGTAAGGCTTAGAATGTTAAGAAATTAGAAGAATCAACTAATTGACCAAAATAAAGGCGTTTGAGTTTCTTTATCTTAGTAGAATTTACCTTTACTGTGCAGTAATAATGCTCAGCATAAAAACTCCATCTTGGATTATGTCTGAAAATCACCAGCTGTTTTTTGTGGTTTCGTCTGTGTAAAAGGGCTATGAATTGTTTATTTCTGTCTGTTGTTTCTCCCTGTGCTTGTATTTTATTTTTGAGATGCATATCTGTTTTTTCTGCTGATAAAATCTGTATGTAAAAAAATAAGTATACAAATGTACTGCCTACATTTTTTATTCAAATTATTAAACTTGAATTTAAGTTCATGCTGTGTTTTTGCTTCGTCTTTACAGTGTATGAGCAGAGCCGACCCTCCACATAAGCAAATTAAGTGGCTGATTAGGACCCCGCCCCGACTAGAGGGCCCCCACAACCCACTGGTGGTGCAAACTGTTTACTTGCTGAAATCGTTTTTATTTACATTTTACAAATTATCTTCATTGGTGGTGTTTTAGTGCTTTTTTACTGAAAAGACAGTTACAATTTTTCTCGTGTGAAGGTCATGACCAACAGGAAACTCGCAGCATCTCATTTCCAATATGTGTTTTGTTTGCATGGTCCGAGTTTGTTTTTCCATGGAGAAAATAAGAAAGCCAGTTAGTGCTGGTATAGATCAGGAAAATGTAGAAACTGGAGCCACTGCAGGAGAGTTACCACTTGAAGAACCAGGAGAAAAAAAGCCAGTTTGGAAGTGCTAGTATAGATCAGGAAAATGTAGAAACTGGAGCCACTGCAGGAGAGTTACCATCTAAAGAACCAGGAGAAAAAAGCATGTTAAAAAAGCTGCTAGTATAGATCAGGAAAATGTAAAAACTGGAGCCACTGCAGGAGAGTTACCACCTGAAGAACTAGGAAAAAAGCCAGTTTTTTAAAAAATGCTAGTTATAGACCAGGAAAATGTAGAAACTGGAGCCACTGCAGGAGAGTTATCACCTTAAGAACCAGGAGAAAAAAGCCTGTTAAAAAAGTGCTAGTATAGATCAGGAAAATGTGATGGAGAACTGCATCCATTGCTTGACTGAATTACTGTCAGAAGAAGCAAGAGAAAAAAGCCAACATAGAAGTGCTGCAAATAAAGAGGATGTAATTGCAAAACTAAAGGTTTTCAATTGCCAGGAGCTAGCTCTCTGCAACTCTCACATGGTCGCCCACTGAAGCTAAGCAGGGCTGCACCTGATGGAAGACCACATGGGAAAGCTAGGTTGCTGCCGAAAGTGGTGTTAGTAAGACCAGCAGGGGACACTAACTCTGTGGTTTCTGTGGGTCCTAATGCCCCAGTATAGTGACGAGGACTCTATACTACTCAGTGAGCGCCATCTTTTGGATGAGGCGTTAAACCCAGGCCCTGACTCTCTGTGGTTGTTAAAAATCCCAGGATGTCCTTCGAAAAAGAGTAGGGGCAAATCTGCACACTGGCCTCTGTCCATCATAGCCTCGTAACCATCCCCATATCATAATTGGCTTCATCCCTCTGTCTCCTCTCCACCATTCAGCTGGTGTGTGGTCTGGTGCAATATGGCTGCCGTCGCATCATCCAGGTGCATGCTGCACACTCATGGTGGATGAGGAGATTCCCCCCAACGTGTAAAACACGTTGAGTGTCCAAAAAAGTGCTATATAAATGGAGGGAATTACTATTATTATTATGTTCTACAGATCCTGCCCTCATGCCGACGATTAATATTAATTTAAGTGACAGATATATTATGTAGAAGTCCATCTATTAGCCCAATGACGAAATTAACAGCATGGTCGAAGGTTAAATGCATGTAAGCCTTTTTTAATGCTTCTGAAAATAATTCTGTTATTTATTAGAATTTATTCATATTTGATTTTCAACTCTGCATTTTATCATTTAATTCCTATTTTAAGTGACTGTCAAATTTAGACTATTTCTAATTGTAAGAACAGATAACATTCATCATTTATGATGCAATTTAGAGTTTTGATTTATATCTGATCCCATAATCTTATAAAGTTATACGTTTATTATGGACTAATCTATTGGATACAAAAGATTTCAGGAGAATCTTCAGGTTTGTACAGAAGAATATTTAAGTAACTTCAGAATTGTCTTTTCTTGAGCTTCAAATAATTTATTTAATTCAATGTTACACTTTAGTTTTGGGGATAGAACTGCATTTTTAATCTGAACAAATCAACTTAATGCATATGGATTCAAGATTGTAAAGTGATTGATTGTTGAAATATTGTAGAAGATTTTTTTGCCTTAGTTACAACTAGTTTACAAATGTAAATTTATTCTAATTAATATGTTAATATTTATTAAATGTTATGCTTTACATGAACTATTGAATCATATTTATTGAATTATATGCCCCATGAATAAAATAAAATATTTGCCCTTCAAGGCTTGATATTAAATTTAAAGACTTTTTAAAAAAACACATGATGACCAAGTGAGTTTAATAAACACTGAAAAAGTGTTTCACTGACTATATGTAAACAAATAAATATTGTTCCCATTTAATATAGACATTTTTTAACATATATATTTTTTCGACAATGTAAAATTTAACATTTCATCTCAATGTCGGCTATGCTGTGGTGCAGTAGGTTGCACGACTGCCTCACAGCAAGAAGGTCACTGGTTCGAGCTTCGGCTGGATCAGTTGGCATATCTGTGTGGAGTTTGCAGGCTTTCCCCGTGTTTGTGTGGGTTTCCTCCAGTTGCTCCGGTTTCCCCCACAAGTCCAAAGACATGCGGTACAGGTAATTGGGACAGCTAAAATTGACCATAGCGTATGTGTGTGATTGAGTTTGTATAGGTGTTTCCCAGTGATTGGTTGCAGCTGGAAGGGCATCTGCTGCATAAAACATATGCTGGATAAGTTGGCGGTTCATTCCGCTGTGGCGACCCCTGATTAATAAAGGGACTAAGCCGAGGTGAAAATGAATGAATCTCAATGTCAAGAAATGTTTCTAAATCATCACATTTACACACATCTCAATTTTGTGTAGTATGGCATTAAGTTGACTCTGATTTTGTGTGATTTTGTCTTTCTGGTGTTTCCCGCTGTCAATGGAGCAGTCCGGCAAAATGACAAAAAAAGCTGATCCTAATTGGTCCTCGTGCGTGCATTAAAATGCTGATTGGCTCACAGATAGAACCTTATAGAGCCAAGCTTAAGTGCGACTTTGTAGAAAAAAACATTTTGTTTTTTTTAAATAAAAAGTCTTTAAATGTAAAACAACTTATAAAAAACATCACAATGTAAATAAGTTGTCATTTAATAAGAATATGTGAATAACTCAATTTTGACAAAAAATGTCAGATAGAACCTTATAATTCTAAGGTGACGATTTGCTGATTTACTCACCCCTTGTCAAAAAGTAAATTTACTTTTTCTGATAACAAACAGGTTTTTGTTGAAAACATTCCAGGATTTTTCTACAAGTAGAGCACTTATTAAATGTTTTAATTTAATGATTTAAACGTCCAGACTGGAGCTTTATGAAACTGCAGTTTAAAATATATATATTCTTTTCCACTGTAGATAAAAAATATAAATATATTGAATGACAAAGGGATGAGTAAATTATCAGTAAATGTTCTTTCTGGGAGTTAATGCTTAAAAACCCTAAATTAAATTCAGGTTTCTTATGTAGCATTATAGTTCATTTATTTTTTCTTATTCTTTCTATGTGAAATATTTTGGCTGCATGTTCATTTCTTTGTCATTGCCTGCCAACCTGCATATGAGATGATGGAGACTGACCCAGACTGAGCACCATCTC